TCTACATTACTCATAAATTTTGCGGTGTATATTAGGAAGCATTGAGCATTCACCGTTAACTTGAAAATTAAGTTACAATTGTATCAATTTTAATGTGCTACAAAAATAACATCGAACAATTCAACAATTAATACTGACATGTCGATTTAGGTGTCTGATTTCTCTTAAAACAAGGTTTGAATTTTGTAGATGAAAGATTATATGATTGGGATAAGAAATCCACTTAGGGTTGTTAAGAAGTTTCGCTCACGAAGATCGGTTATGAAAACAATTGATGAATGCTTCATAATATCATGCTTATAAAAAAAATCAATAGTTATATCTTTGATCACACATTATTGAATTCACAAATTTTTTTATAGTTAAATCAATTTGTATATCCCTATAGTGGTTTCAATGTTTTTAATTGAGTCCCTATAAATAAAAAAATACTTTATAAAGATCTTTATAATTTAAAAACATTGCAATAAGTCTTTCACACACTAATATCAAATTTTTTTTATTATATTGGTGGAATATCGTCTTACTTTATAAAAATCTTTATAATTTAAAAACATTGCAATAAGTCTTTCACACACTAATATCGAATTTTTTGTATTATATTGGTGGAATATCGTCACATCACATTTACCTTTTAATATCGTATTATTTTCATTTATTTCAAAAACTTCTAATTAAATTTCAAGTTTTAATATGTTAAATACACAAAAAATTATAATTAATTTCATATTTAGATTTAAATTATATATCAGTTTATAATCGATCTTCGTGAGCGAAACTTGTTATCAACTCTAAGTGGATTTCAATTTTTGTTTTTATAACCAATCTTCGTGAGCGAAATTTGTTATCAACTCTAAGTGGATTTCCTATCCCAATCATATAATCTTTCATCTACAAAATTCAAATCTTGTTTTAATTAAGAGGAATCAGTCACCTAAATCGACATGTCAATATTAATTGTTGAATTGTTCGATGTTATTTTTGTAGTACATTAAAATTGATACAATTGTAACTTAATTTTCAAGTTAACAGTGAATGCTCAATGCTTCCTAATATAAACCGCATAATTTATGAGTAATGTAGAAATATGAATGTTTTATATCTTTAATTAATACAAAAATTAAACCCACTTTTTTAAATGTATGTTTTATAACATTTAGAAACCAAAACACACAAAAAATATATAACACTATTAAAATCAATTGAATTTTTTTTTATAAATGTGAATATTTTATAATTTTATTTTTATTTAATATCATTCCAATAACTTATAAACCTGTCATCATTTCAAAAAAAATAACCTTTTGAAAACCGTTTTTGTTGTAAATAACAATAATAATACATAGTTGTTTAGTGAAAAGGAAAAATCATAACTTTCAATACATACACACATATATATATATATATCCTTTAAAGAATAAACTATACATGTCACAAGAAAAGATCACAAATTGAAAACACAAAAACTTTTGAAATGACTTTTCGCTTTGATCAACCTTTTATCTTGGGAATTTTATGCGTTGCATTTGTTCTAAGTTTAGGTAATTTGTTAAACGTTTAACTTTTGCAATTTTTTTTTTATATTATTATTACATATAATTCTCATAAAACATTTATTTGATATTATTTTATGGAATGTTGTTTCAAAACAAAGGGCAAAACAATTGTCCAAATTTCATATAAATTTTATGTTAAAATTTCAAATAACAAAAGCAAGGAACTTTCAATGTAGGATATTCAACCGTACTCAGTGACGTGTCGCCGCTTGCATCACAATGTGATGGAGTAAAATGTCTAAGTAATTATTTTTGCAATCAATGTTGCCTTGGAGAAGGGTATCAATCTGGCATATGTGGAAAACAAGGTTCAGAATATTACTATTATTGTCATTGTAAAAAGAATTAAGTTTTATGAATGATTATTTTATAAAAGTAAAATAAAAGAAGTGATTGAAGTAAAGTTCTATTGTAATGATCGGAGATGGTCGGAGTTTGTGGTGTAAAACACCCTTGAATAATTAGTAATGTAATTCCTTTCAAATCAAATATTTGTAAACATTTATTATACATGTTTTTTAGATTCCCCAAATTTTTTCATAGAAATATCAACCAAAAAATGAATATTCTCATATTTGATTTCATATCTTTTGTTGAAAATAATAACATGTTAAACTATATAAATAAAGTAGTATAAAACATGTGGCTTTGAGATTAAGAAAATTGAGAATATAAACATGATGTCTAAGAATTAAGGCGTTCTCAACTTTTCACAGTTTATTTAAGAAAAAAAAAAGGATATTCTTTAAATAGAATTCACGAAAAGAAATGAAAAAAAAACTTCTAAATTTGAAAAGAAATAATGATTTTCACCTTTTTTATGTTATAATTTATTAAATTTAATTATTTTTAAAGATTAAAAAAAATACATGTAAAAAATAGGAATTTGAGAGAAAACTATATTGTAATAGTTATATAAATAATTTTTATATAACTAATAACAACCCCTATATATTGAATGGGAACAATTGTCTGGTAGAAGAAAGTTTTTAGGGACTTTTTACTAACCAGATGCGTGAAAGGTTTTGTTTCTATTTTTTATAATTATATATGAATTAAATTTTAATATTTTTAAATCAATCCCAATATACTATGCATGAACAATTATGTTGCACGAAAACATCTTAAGAAATTTTGTTTAACTCCATATCTAATTTAGATTTTTTATCATAATTTTTAATGAATTAAATCAACCCTCTGTATATGAAACATAGACGCCTATATTGTCATAGAGCGTTTTAATTAGGAGTTTTCCTTTTGACAAGGGAAATTTTAGGAGTTCTTTCAACTTTGTATCTAATTCAAATTTTATTTATCATAATTATTTATAAATTTAATTTTAATTTTTTTTAAAATAAATTATCAATAACTAAAAATAATTATTGCTACAATATACATTATTTATAATAAATCTAAATTTTAAAAATATGTACTAATTCATATTTCAAATCAACTTTTATATATTTAGCACAAGTCTCTATCTCGCATCGTAACATTTTGTTAGGGACTCCTTTTTGACAAGAGAGACTTTAGTGGTTTTTTTACCTCTTATCTAATTGTGATTTTTATTTATTATAAGTATTTACAAACTAAATTTTAATATTTTTAATATAATTTATCAATACATAAAAATAATATTGTGTTACAATATAAATTATTTATCATAATTATAAAATTTAATTTCTTTGTTTAAAAATATTTTTCTACATACATTTTAAATATGTTTTATATGTAAAAAATATTATTTAGTTGTATATATAATTTTTTTATAAATTTAAGTTATATATAATAAATATTTAGCATGGGCATTACACAGTCTAAAACCCTAATATAACTTATATCATCAAATCATGATCATTGGACATTTGGTGCATTTTTGGGACTCCATAAGTTGTGACACCAGTTAATAGGGAAATAAGCGGATTGGATTGGATCGGGTTTGAATAAACCCGTTATTTGATCAGTTCAAAATTTAACGGATTGGGTCCAATCCAACCCAATCACAAATAGGTTGGATTAGGTTAATCGGGTCAGTATAATTATATATATATATATTTTTAAAAAATTTAATCCAATCCAATCATGAATGGATTGTGTTGAGTTGAGTTAATCGATTTAACATAATTAAATTTATCTATATTTGTAAAAATTTAAATATTTTAAAATAGATGTAAATCATTTAATACATTATTGCAAATTCTGTGTTATCAACTTATAAAGCAAATAATGATGCAAATTAAATTCTAAAATAAATTTATTATTTTGTTACATTATTATCAACTCAAAATATTAACATTAATTAATTTAAAATAAATATACTATATTGTTACGATGCTATCAACCTAAAATACAAAACTTATTACTAAGTAAGATTAACATTGAGTATTATCCTAAATAAATGATCATTCAAACATTGTTATTGTTATTATTATTATTATTATTATTATTATTATTATATGACCTGGTTGGGTTGGGTCGGGTCAATAACGGGTTGAAAATACAAAACTTGTTTATCGGACCTGTACAATATCAGGTTTTAATCATATTGGGTTGGGTCTAACCTAAACACTGAAAAAATTTAATCAAAACTCATTGGATTGGTCTGAGTTAGTTCAAGTTCTTGGATTACCTGGACTTGCTTACACCCTACTAGTTAAATTATTCGCTAACCAATGTAGTTTGGCAAGCATTCACATTTTTTTTAATGCCTTTTTTTATGTGAAAAAAAAAAAAAAAACAAGAAGTAAATATCTACTTAGGTTCACATGCCACATGCCAGATGCCACAATTCAACAATTTTGAAAGCTCAACTATGTTTCCATGCTATTTGTGAAATAATTCATCCTCCACTCATCGCATCTTTTTCCTTTTTTTCTCTAACATGCCAGATGCCACATTTGTTTTTACGTTAATTTCATGCTGTTTGTAAATACAATATTAATAATGTTACTATTGATTTTATTCACATGTCAGAATTAGAATTTCATTTTAGTAATATATGCAAATTTTGAATTGTGATTAGAAAAACATAAATAATACCTATGATACCTCATTAAGTTTTGTCCTATAATTAACACATTAATATTAATATCTCTACTGAAACTGTGCTAGAGATATTTTAGGTAAGTTTTTCATATGTTCTTTTAATTTTTGGAGCATGTGGGTAGGTTAAAGTTGGGCCCGAAGGAGATGGATATAAAGAGTTAATGCTTGCAATGCATTAATAACTTATACTGTAGAGTGATTCTTCAGTTTCACATAAATATCACGTGCAGAGAAAAAGGTTGTGCTTGTTTGCTTGGCTTAGTCCAACACTTTCCATTTCAGTGGAAACAGTTTATAATCCGAGATGCTAATATGCATCACTCTCATTAATGGCATCATATGCAGCATTGAGTTGAGGCCGGTCCCTACTAACCTAACTTCTGAAGGTGCCTATATATATGTGAAAGAGAGGAAAGAATAAATGACTTCTGAAGTCACGAGAGATCACAGATCGAAAAAAAAGAAGTTTTGAAATGGCTTTTCACGTCGATCAATCTTTTCTTTTGAGAATTTTATGTGTTGCACTTGTTATAAGTTCAGGTAATTTATTAAAAATTTAACTTCTGCAATTCTTTTTTTTTCTTCATTGCATACAATTCTCATGAGACATTTATTTGATATTATTTTTTGGCATGTTTTTTCAAAACAAAGGGTAAAACATTTGTTCAAATTTTATATAAATTTTATGTTGAAATTTCAAATAACAAAAACAAGAAATTTTCTTTGTAGGACATTTAACCGTATTCAGCGACGTGTCGCCGCCTGTATCACAGTGTGATGAAGTAAAATGTCTAAGTAATGATTTATGCAATCAATGTTGCAAGGGAGAAGGGTATCAATTTGGCATATGTGGAAAGCAAGGTTCACAATATTACTATTATTGTCATTGTAAATAAAATTAAGATTTACAAATGGTTATTTTATGAAAGTAAAATAAAAGAAGGGTTTGAACTAAGGTTTTATTATAATGATCAGAGATGGTAGGAGTTTGTGGTGTAAAACATTCTTGAATAATTAGTAATGTAATTACTTTCAAATCAAATATTCGTCTATATTTGTTGTACATGTTTTTAAGATTCCCAAATTCGTTCAGAGAAATATTAGTCAAAAAATGACAATTCTCATATTTAATTTCATATCTTTCGACGATGATAATAACATGTTGAGCTATATAAATAAACTAGTATAAAAAAGGTGACTCGGAGATTAACAAAAAATTGAGAACATAAACATGATGTTTAACAATTAAGGCGTTCTCAACTTTTTACCGTTTAATAGACTTCAGAAAAAGAAGGAAAAAAAACACATCTTCTAAATTGGGAAGAAATAATTATTTTCACCTTTTTTTTATGTTATAATTTCTTAAATTTTAATTATTTTTAAAGTAAAAAAATACATGTAAAAGAAAAGAAATTTGAATAAAAACTATATTGTAATTAATATACAAATACTTTTTATATAATTAATATCAACCCATATATATTAAATGCAAATAATTATCTACTACGAAAATTTTTTTAGAGACTTTTTACTAACAAGACTCGTGTGGAAGAGTTTTGTTTCTATGACAACAGGTTTTTAGGGATTATTATAACTTATATAATTCAATTTTTACTTATTATAATTATTTATGAATTTATACATAAGAAACATTGAATTTTCTTATAGTATCACAAGTTAAAAGTGGGTAGTGTTGAACGTGACATGTATATGTAATTCCAAATTCTTCTTTGAATTTGTTTGTTCTATAATTAATGCATGTGATCCCTTCCTGTTGTGACCAAGACCAAGGGCACAAACCTTTTTGGTGTCCCTCTCTGAGTGCTCCTTCTCCGGCGAAGAGAATACGATTCTTTTTTATTAAAAAAAAAATGTGCGTACCATGTACCATCAACTCTTACTTTTTTTTCGGAGCGAAGAGAATATGATAGTAATAATTAAACATGGCATGTACCATAGTAATAATTGCACATAGTACATAATATAAATAAACTCTTATAAATAAAAATTCACTTTTTTTCTTTCTATTTTTCCAGCAAATTTTAAAAAAATTCATTAATATAAATTAGGAATTATTAGTCAAACTTATATTCGATTAATATTTCTTTTTCATCATATGTATTTACTTTATTTACCACGTTAAAATTAAAATTGTTGAATTGTGGCACTATCATGTTAAATTAAAAGCTCAACTATGTTTCCATACTGTTTGTTTGTGAAATAATTAATCAATCACATGAGTAACACGAAAATTTATTTGTGCAATATTATTATAGCCACAAATTATGGCATCAGCTTTGCAAATCATTTCCGATTATTAATTAACTAATATACATGATATCATCAGCCATGTAACATTCTAAAATTTTTAAAATTATTAAAAGAATATTTTAATTAATTAAATAGATTATATAATTACATTAAAAAAATTAAATTATTGTGAATGTTTTTATTAATTAAAAAAAGATCTATGAAATTATTTTTTATATTAATTATTAGAAATATAAATATATTTTATTTGTTTTTAACATATTTTGATTAAATATTACAACTTTAATTATTTTAAAGGTTTTATAGATAAGAATATTTTTACATAAGGAAAATAAAGATTTTAAAATTATATTATTTTTAAATATAACATAAAATTTTATACATTACTTGTAAATTGTGCGATTTATACTACGCAAGCATTTTTTAACTTGAAAATTAGGTAACAATTGCATTTAATCTTAAATTTCTCTCACGAAGACCAATTATCAAAATAATTGATGAATACATCATAATATCATAGTTATAGAAAAAAAAATTCAGTAGTTAAATCTTTATTCACACGTTATTAAATTTTAATATTAACATTTGTTTTTACGTTGATTCCATGCTGTTTTCACATTCTTTTTTTTTTGTTGGTAATTTGGGCCTAGATTTGATGCAATTTTTGGTGAAAACCAACCCAAAGGCTTGGTGCAAGGTAATTACTTTTTGCACAACTAATTTTTTCTACATACATATCTTATCTCTCTAATTTTTTTTTTAAATACTTTTAATCTTACACTCAATAATTAAATTTTCAAAGTCTAATTATTTTCTGGGATTATAATTTTGGAAACCTATTTGTATATTTCTTAAATTATAATTTCAAAAATTTACTTCTTACTCTCATTTTTGAAAATAAAATTTGAGATATCTATTTGTATATAATTATGAAAATATAATTTCAAAACATAGTTCTTAATGTATTTCTTTTATGAATATTCTAAAACTATGTTTCTTAGAATATACAATTAGACTTCTAAAAGATTTTTTTCGATATCATTTCATGTCACCAGAACATTCTGAAAATTAATGTATCAAACAAAAAAAGAATTTATTGCAAGAAGCAAATACCAAGATCAATGCAAGGTATACCAAAGAAAGCAAGAGAAGTACATAAGAGTATGTTTGGCAATGTATATTAGGTATTATAAATTAATTTAATTAAAACTAAAGTATTTAATATGTGAGCTTATGTTAATT